CATTCACTCTCACAGTATCTTTATTCTTTACTAGACGGGTGACCCGGGCTTCGCCCCGGCATTGACCCGTGTGCATCTACCCGAGTGATATATATTTAGATATGATTTTTTTTTATAATTGTTTGTTATTAGCATTATCTATTTGTTTGCATCAGCATAATTTAATCTAATCTTTGATAGAGGGCGCTGTTCGTGAGCTAAGTAGAATAATTTGAATATATAGTTTTAATAATTGATTTATATAATTTTTAAAATAGCCTATCATCTTCCCCGTATTTTTTTACCTATGTATGGAAATTTTAGTTTGAATTAGTGAACTACTGCAAATTTGTATACCGGACATACAAACATACAAACATTCATTTTTATATACCAGGTCTATTAGTATGAAACGTGGAAATTTTCAGTGAATTCAAAAGTTCACCAATTCCATACACCAAAAGATTTTTTATTCAAAGTAATTGCCCTGATTAGTTATACACTCGGACCACCTTTCAGGCAATTTTCGAATACCTTGTCTGAAAAATTATATTCCTTTTGAGTCGAACCAGTCAACAAGCCATTTTCGGAGTATATCTGAGTTAGAAAATTCCAGGTTTTTTAGGGCGTGTCCTAAAGATGTGAAAAGGTGGTAGTCCGACGGTGCTAAGTCTGGTGAGTACGGCGAGTGGGGTAAGAGTTCCCAGCCCAAGTCTTTTATGGTGTTTTTGACCACTGTAGCGTTGTGGGCTGGAGCGTTGTCATGCTGCAGTATCAGCTTGTTGTGCTTTTCACGCCATTACGGTCTTTTTTCAATCAACGCCTCTCTCAAACTGTGCATTTGTTGTTCGTAGCGACTAGTATACCAGGTATTGACCGTTTCGCCAGGTTTCAGGAGCTCGAAATATACTACGCCGGTCTGGTCCCACCATACGCAAAGCATTGCCTTTTTTCCGAAGCAATTGGGCCTAGGCGTCTGTTTTGGAAATTGGCCGGGCAGGCCCCACGACTTTTGGCAAGTAGGATTGCTGAAGTGGATCCATTTCTCATCAGAAGTTATGATTCAGTGCAAAAATGACTTCTTTTCATGCCTGGCGAGCAGCCCTTCGCAGGTTACCAGACGCCGTTCTTGCTGCCTTTCGCTCAACTCGTGGGGTACCCATCTGGAAAGCTTTTGGGTCATTCCGAGGCTGTTTAAACGTAGGGAAACAGCACCTTGAGACACCTGGAACTGTTTCGCGAGTTTCTCCTGCGTTTGGGTACTGTCCTCATCCAACAAAGCTTGCAGTTCAGTGTCCTCGAATTTTTAGGGCGGTTTTCAACGTGGTTCATTATTAAGTTCGAAATCGCCACTTTGGAATTTTTTAAACCACCTGTAACACTGCGATTTGGTCAGAGCGTGGTCGCCGTAAACTTCCTCGAGCATTCGGTGGGCTTTAGTGGCACTTTTCTTCCAGTTAAAGGCGAACAACAAAACTTCCCGCAAATGGGCACTTTTTGGCTCGGAAATTGCCATTTTCCATGGGCTCCAGAAATTTTCCTCGATTTGAATTTTTCTAAAACTGCATGCGAACTGATGCCACGTGAGTCAAAAACAAAACGCCTTCAACAGCTCCACCGTCGGATAAAATAAAGTTGCACAGCGCCTTCTGGAGGCCATTTTCGCATTTCATACTAATAGACCTGGTATATAGATTTTTCATTCTTTTTGTAAGTCTAGCCTCACCACAGCTTTGTCCACCACACTCTGTTGATAGTTGTTGGTCTGGGACTGTTTATTAGATATTGACAGCTATGACAGCTACTCACCATGATGCTTCCCCATTTCTATTCAAGTTGTAGACTCATCAACTTTTATTTTTTAAAAGTTTATTGTTCTTGACCTTTTGCTGAGCCACTATCACCCTTTTCAAAAGATGGAAATTTATTAGTAAAAAATTGTCCCTATATTATTATATTGTGATATAATCTAATGGACAATACTAATAAGTTTCCATCTTTTGGATAGGGTGATAGTGGGTCGGTGAAATGTCCAAGGCAATAAACTTTTTAAATAAAAGTGTTGATGACTCTACAACTTGAATAGATGTAAATCCAACCTACCATTATGATAGTCTCTATAGTGCCCCATTTGCCACCTTGTGCCTGGTTAGATTTTTCTTTTTGCTATAACCCTTTCCACTACAACAAGTAGGTATGAGCCAAGGTGTGTTGAGGGTGGTACCTGGGAAAGGATTGATTCAACATTTCTAATAGAAGGGTCTGGAATTGAAAGACACAAAGAGGTGGAGGGGAATTACATAGATAGACTGAAATGGAATTCCAAGATGGCTGACCACTGTATCAGAGATGGCTCTACTACATGATGATGAATACCTCTTTTATTAGGTTCTTTAATGAGACTGAGACTTTAATAGTGAAGTAACCTTAATTAAGATAGTGCAAAACATTTCTGTATATTATAATGTGAGAAATGACTTTTTTTTTTAATGGCTTAATACTTATAGATGTTGATTATAAGGCACAATTTAGATTTTAGAATATAAACACAATGTAATAAGACCAAATAAATAGTGTGTGACGTTTCGGCAACAACTCTGTTACTTCCCACGTGATCTAGTGGCTAGGATATCTGGCTTTCACCCAAAAGGCCTAGGTTCGATTCCCAGCGTGGGAAGTTTTTAGGGGGTTGGTGAATGGAAGGTCTAAACCGTTGGCTTTCGACCACTACGACCCGAGTTCGATTCCTGCATTGGGCATTTTTTTCTGATTAAAAAAAAAAATGCTCCAATGGCTCCTGATTCTTGCAAAAGTCCAACCCCACCAGCGAATGAAAGCAACCAAACGGGGCTCTGGCACATTTTTAAGTGCAAAGTCAAACTGCTTTTCTCATGTGTAGACATGTGGTACACTTACAGTAAAAGCAGTCGCCTACCTCTACCAACCATGGTTATCATGGCCTGTACCACGTGTACTAGGGATAAGCAAAAAAAACTCTTGTTACAGAAGTGTCACACATTTATTTATTTGGATTTGGTCTTATTACCTTGTATACTTATAGAGGTTGTTTTTATAATGTTAATTATTTACTTATAATCCAGGCACCTATATAAAAAAAACTTTAGTGAACATAGGCTGTATTTGGAAGATTTGGTGAGAAGGAAGGAAATGGATGGTTTCATCACACTCCATCCTCTTGCTCAACAACCAAGATCAATTAGACAGAGTGACTGACCAATGTGAAATTTTGGGGAGGAACAAACTCTAATTAATGCAAATGTGTTTTTGTGTCATTTGATAACATTTCTATCTCCTCTCAAAATTATGTGGTATGAAATGTTTGCAGTCATGTGGATTCTTTTTTTTTTTTCTGTATAAGGAGTCTCCATGATGGAGTATTTCTGACAATGGTTGGTTATCCTTCTAGGAGGTGGCAGTCAGATTTAGCCCCCCCCCCCATGTCATGGTACGGTAGAACCTACATGTAGATACCTCTCTATAAAGGAGAGTTTTCATTTCCAAAATGACCATTTTTTACTAATTACCTGCACTCCAGTAAGAGGACTCCTCTGTCTAAAGGACTCTTTGGCTCTGCAACTAGGTAGAGAGAGGTAGTTCTACTGTACCACTCAGTGTAGTTTGTATTGACAATTATCAGAACACCTTATGAATGGAATGAGCCACAGAGGACCTAGGAGGGACTACCTAACTCAGCAAGGTCCATTATTACAGGATTGCGGTTTTGACGAATTACAAAAATCATATAATGCCGCAACTCTTTTTTATTCACCTGATCAAAAGAAGCTTTCGGGAAAGCCCTTCTTCAGCTAACTAACAGGTTCAGTCTGACAGCATCTTCAGTAGACATGCTAACAACTATCCTAACAACTCTGTTAGTTCCCGGTGGCAGCTGGAAAAATGTGGTTTATATGGACCAAGAGGATCCATTAAATACATCTTGAGATATACTATTATATTCAAGTGGCCTTTAAACATTGAAGGAAGATTCTTATTCCATTTCCTGTGCTTGGAGTATCACTTTTTGTTCCTTTGTTTATTGTGGAATATTGTTATAACAGCCTCCCTCCTAACAGTAACTTGGTTATACTATACTAGACGAATGGCCCGGGCAACGCCCGGGTTTTACCCGAGTGCGAATATATTTTAAAAACGTTGTCTTGGGTGGTCGCTATAGACAGGGTGGTCTGTATAGACAGGTGTATGTATCACACAGCTGATAACAGGGTTGTCTAGAGTGGCCGCTATAGACAGGGTGGTCTGTATAGACAGGTGTATGTATCACACTGCTGATAACAGGGTTGCCTAAAGTGACCGCTATAGACAGGGTGGTCTGTATAGACAGGTGAATGTAACACACTGATGATAACAGGGTTGCCTAAAGTGACCGCTATAGACAGGGTGGACTGTATAGACGGTGGATGTATCACACAGCTGATAACAGGGTTGTCTAGAGTGGCCGCTATAGACAGGTGTATGTATCACACAGCTGATAACAGGCTTATCTAGAATGGCCGCTATATACAGGGTGGTCTGTATAGACAGGTGGATGTATCACACAGCTGATAACAGGGTTGTCTAGAGTGGTCGCTATAGGCAGGGTGGTCAGTGGTCGCTATAGACAGGGTGGTCTGTATAGACAGGTGGATGTAACACACTGCTGATAACAGGGTTGTCTAGAATGGCCGCTATAGACAGGTGTATGTATCACACAGCTGATAACAAGGTTGTCTAGAGGGGGGCAGGGAGGACACGTGTTCGCCGGCAGCCAATGGGCGCGCATTCTATCCGTGAGTTACAGACAGAATAAGGCAATTATATATATAGATTGTCCCAAGTTATTGCATCAACTGTGGTTTAGCAACAGAAAGTTTGGGTACCAAGTGAAGTTTCTAGAACCAACTTTTTGGACTGCAGTTTAAAATGGGATGATTATACAGTCCCAAGTCTTGGTTTCAATTAATAATTAAAGCGTATTTAATGAAGAAGGTTTGAAACTGAGATGAGCCTGCCAGAATTTGAACCTGGAATCTTCTGATCTGTAGTCAGACGCGTTATTTGTTGCGCTACAGGCCCACTAATGCAACGGATAATGTGTCTGACTATGGATCAGAAGGTTTGAAATATTTTATATCACTATAATGCAAATTCATGAGGAGTGGTGTATGTGTGTGGAAATAGCTCTTTACTCCTAGTTTGCTTATTTGGAGGTATTACCTTTTAGTGTAGGTTAATTCTCTAATTGTGCCAGCTTCTAAAACCTCTCTTTCACAAAGTGTGTATGTGGCGCAGTGATGCAGGAAGGATCTTCGGTGGCGCAAGAGCTGCCAGCCTGTTGTTGGCGCATGGTCAGCAAGGATGGACTCATTCAGCACCTGCTTCCTCTAGGCATGAGTTTCATCGGCCGCCAGGAGTGTGATATCCTGCTGCAGGTAGGACTTCCTGAGTTGGTTGATGTAGGCTCCAGCTTTGAGATAAACCCCAGTTTAAACCAACATTTTCTCTACCGTTAAACATACTCCATGAGAGGACTTCTCTCTTCAAAGGACAATTATCATCACCAATACAGTAGAATTTCCATGAGGGGACACTGTTGCAAGAGAACAGCTTTACAAAGAATAGTTTTCATCGCCAATATAGTAGAACCTCCATGAGAGGACACCTCTCCACAAATGACAGTTTTAATCACCAAAATGACCATTTTCACTATTTAGCAACTCTCCGGTAAGAGGACACTTCTCTCTCTAAAATACACTTTGGCTCTGCAACCAGGTGTTGTCCTTTAGAGAGAGGTTCGACTGTATTATAAAGTCTGCTTTCATTAACTGGCAGCTCACTGGGTGAACAAGCAAAGATTACTTATGATTATAATAAGTCCTAAATGACAAATGTACACTCAGGATACTCTTAATCTAAAATAAATTTACATAAAAACTTTGTTGATGCATGAGGAACCTTGATTTTACATCCTTCTTTAAAAGCAGCAACATGGCTATAACAGCTACTAGGTAATAAGACCAAATACAAATGAATGAATAGTGTGTGATGTTTCTGAATCAGTGTTGTTACCGAAATGTCGCACACATATTTATTTAGATTTGGTCTTATCACCTTGTAGTTCTAATCTATAATCCAAATTGTGTCTTATCATGGTTATAACATCATAATTCTAAGGTTATAGAATAAAGACATTTTGGGAAATAAATATAATAATAAAAGATAAAAGCCATTCAAAAGAAATTTCTTTTATTAACTTTAACTGTGAGCTTTTGAACTCTCTATGGCTATTCAACAGGTAAAATATGACATTAAGAGCGAATGCTGCCTCCCATGTTCACTTATCATCTTTTTTCTTTGAAGAGGTTGGTCGCTGTTAAAGTAAATAAAAGAAAGTTATTGTCACAAAGTATTTATATTTATTCTGTATAAATATTTCTAAAGTTCCAGATGTTTTAACCTTGGTGATAAGAACAACATGCTTATAGTAACATAAAATATCTTGGTACCTAGTGATGCTGTTATGTATGCAAATTTAAATTGGTCCATTTAAAAAAGATTTGACTCGGTATATATTTGGGGTTAAAACAACATATATCCAGTTATTTGGAGTGCTTTCACTCAGTCTAACAAAGGATGTCTACCCACCAAAGTGAAAATTCCTCTGACAGCCATTGACCAGCTCGGGTTGCATCAACATAGCTGACATGCCATTGTCTGTCTCACAGGAGCTCTTGTTGTTCATCCTTTCTCTCACATTGGAAGCCCCTCCATCACCTTTCCTATAAGTTCAACAATTTGTGACACTTTATTTTTGCAATAACATTTGCTAAACTCAATGATTTTGGGATTTGGTCTTTTTGTTTCTCTGTGTTTTTATAGAAGAACACATTATAAATAATAAACAAAAAAGCTTCCGAGGATGAGTTTCTTATTTTATTCCAATATCCTCTAAAGCTTTTTCTTGTGTATCTCAAACCTTTCTACAGGATTATATGATAAAATAAGTCTTTGACTAATACAGTAGAACCTCCATGAGAGGACACTCGCGCTAGAGGATACCTCTCTATAAAGAACAGTTTTCATTTCAAAAATTACCATTTTTACTATTTAGTAGCTCTCCGGTAAGACGACACCTCTCCCTCAAGGACACTTTGGCTCTGCAATGAGGTTTCCTTTACATGGATGTTCTACTTATCATATATTCACAAGATAATAAGACCAAATCCAAATAAATAAATAGTGTGTGACGTTTGAAGGTCAAATGGCTGAATTATATTCTGTACCTGCAAACCTCTTGGGGGGGGGGGGGGGGAGAAGTTCATAACTGATGAGCCATGCTCTTCTTCCTCTTTGAATTTTTATTCATGGCAGTATAAGGGTGTAGAAATAGCTTTTAATTATATGTATTCTATCTTCTTTAAAAACAAGACCAAATCCAGACTAAATTTTTTAAATGTAAATATCTATGGTTGAATATATGACTATCATATAAAGCCATTATTAATTAATATATTACAAGAGTATTTTCTAAAAATATCAATGATTTAAACCGACTGTAATTCAACACCACCTTTAATTCAACTTGAAATTCTGATACCCCCTGGGGTGTTAATTTAAAGAAGATAGACGATAAGGCACAATTTGGATTATAGATTATAAAAACAAGGTAATAAGACCAAATCCAAATATATATTGCCTAAAAAGGACTCCAAAATTGATGGAGACTCTTGTAAAATGTATTTGAATAATTTCCCGGAGAGATATAGACAGGAACTCAACAGGAGTTTTATATGGGCTTATTGAATATTGTCAGTTATTCAAAGGCGAATATGTACAGGGCAAGATGCCCTAATAAAGCTGTTTTGTTGTTGTTGTATATGGGCTTATTTACAAACAGCTTATGTTAATGTTTTTGAATATACAAAACACAAGGTAATAAAATTAAATCCAAATAAATAAATAGTGTGTGACGTTTCACACAGCATTGTGACCATCTTCAGACAAAAGTACTGAATGAAAGATAGTTATGATGATGGTAACAACGCTGTAACAGTAATGTCACACACTATTTATTTATTTGGATTTGGACCTATTACCTTATGTTTATAATCTATAATCTAAATTGTGCCTTATCATGAATATACAAAAGTTATTTTTTTTTTGACATAACTCACATGGGAATGTTGAAAATGTTTTTCTCTGGGCCAATTTCTATTTGATGAGTTAAAAATATATTTAATATTTTTTCTGCTAAAAGGTTCTTCCAACTTGTCATTTGGAATAAAATTTGGCAATATCTATCCCAAATTCATTGGGGTTGGTGGAGGAGTGGTGTAAACCATCAATTTTTGACAGCCAAAAAAAAAAAATTTCAACCCCAGATCAAATCCCAGATAAGGCACTTTTTTATATATATATATAAAAAAAAGCTTCAATGGACCCCCAATTCTTGCAAAAGTTCAATCCCACCAGTTAGTGTTCTGACACACTTGTCGGTACAAAAAGTCAAACTGCTTTCTACATGTGTAGATATGTGGTGCAATTACAGTAAAAGCATTTGCTTACTACCTACCATGATTACCATGGCTTACTTGGGATAAGTACCACTCCCACCACATTTAAAAGAGATAAAAAAAAAAAAGATTATGCCAACAGGAATGGATATAGGCTACAACTCTCAAATGCTACAGAACATAAAGAGTAAGTCTGTCAAGAGGACAGCAGATCTTGATTTTCAAAATTAGGTCTGATCTATGGCCATTGTAGAGAGGTTGCAATATTTTCCCATATTATGTATATAGGTTGAATTTGTTTTTAACTCCACATCATTGACTGCATCAATTCATTATTGACAAACTCCAGATCCACACACTTGACACCTTATAGAATAGAGTGAGGATAAGAAAGAATATTTCCTGGTAGAACTACCTTTCTTTAAAGCACAACACCTAGTTAGAGAGCCAAAGTGTCTTTTATAAAGAGGTGTCCTCTTAATAGAGAGCAGCTAAATAGTAAAAAATGTAATTCAGGCAATGAAAACTGTGTAGAGAGGTGTCCACAAGTTCATAGAAGTTATAGCATATGTAAGTCTCCACAGTTGACCATGGGTCACTCGGTCCAATCACCTTGAGTCCATCCCACTCAGCAGCCATATAAGGCCAGCCTCACCTCTGACCTGACAGTCGACCTGCATGGCCGATGATTCACCCACCTGGGCAGCTTGCCAACCTGGGCAATTAGAAACTACGGACCTCGTTAGGGCATTGTTCTGTCCCACCAGACATTGTCCGACCCAATTGCTGCCGTCTCTTCACCCCCCCCCCCAGGGCTATGATGGATGGATTGATAAAATCTGATCACAGCGAAAGTTTTCCTCCTTCTCCCCTCCTCATTGTTGTCGTCATCCACACGCAACTTTGATTGCTCTTGTTGTTTTCTCCTGACCCACTTCTTTGGGGAGCTCCCATTCTCCTCACTTTTAGATTTCTTTTGAAATCTGTCCATATTGGAGCGGGGAGTTACTTTCTACATTCCTTCTCTTTTTTTTTTTTTTTTTTATACAGGAAGACTTTTCTCTTCACACTTTAGTTTTTTTTAAATGTATTTATGAAACTTCTTTACCTTGTTTTTGTTTAGTTTTCAATGTAAAAGTTTTACTTTCCAAAAATCTAAAATCACAAGTAGCTTTTTGTCTGAGGATGGTAGGTAGGTGATGTGCTATTACACAGAACATTCTAAATTACTTCTTTAGTCTTGTTGCCCCTCCCTTGTGTGATTCTCTCATCTTTGAACAAACCTACCTTATAATAAATTACCTCACAGCTTAAATTTTGGTTGATTGGGACTGCTGTTAATTGGGAACTAGTACTAATAGGTAATGGTGATAATTGGGACAGATGATAATTAGATCTATTGATATTTGGTAGTGTGTTGACATTTAGGACTACTGGTATTTTTTCCCTATTTCCCCTGAATGCCAGTTAATGAAGGATGTTTGGTAATACACCCCTCTTCCCCCCATCCTAATTATTGTGAAATTTTGTGAAACTTTATCATACTTTCCTTCTCATTTTGTA